GTTCCGCATCTTTCTATTCTTTTCTGACGACTGTCATTAATTTGGGTGTACTGGCCCTTTAAATACAGTATGAACCAAAGAGTGTCTCTCTACCTCCTCGGTCATCCCCGCTCTGATCAGGGTGAACAGGTTCTTCAGCAGTCGGGCGTCATCCTCTCTGTCCAGGTCAGCCAGGGGGCGCTGCTGCCGGAGAGGAGCGTCTGGGTCCTGAACACACACACACACACACACACACACACACACACGCACATTTTATCGATGTATTTATTAACAGTAGGAATGTGGAGGCGTGTGTTGTCATGGTAACAGGTCTCACCAGTTCAGTGACCAGAGGAACAGTGAAAGCAGCACCGCTCTTCCTCCTCATCTTCAGCGCATGAAGAGTGTTCTCCCTGAGACAGAGACACAGACACACACCTCAATTTTACTGTTGCAGGAACTCACCGATGATGCTGATACACACTACTGTAGACTTGATATTTAAAAACTCACCAGCAGACATTTTTGGCGTAGTATTCTATATTATCCGAAAAATCTCCAATCTGATCCTTGGCAATGCACTCCAGCCAATCAACGACCAGCTGCAACATAGTGACCAGACAGTGAGCAACTAGCAACAGGATGGGCTTTCATCCACCTGTTTCTATGCACAAAACAACAACAAAAAAACTTAAAATATCACGTGTGTTTGTGTGTGTGTGTGTGTTACCTGACTCTGTCGTATGACAGCATCCCGCTGAAAAAGCTGCTCCACCACAACCTTCTCACTCTCACTGGGAACCTACAAACACAAACAGACAGAGATGCAAACACACTTTAATCTTTACAGCCTCCAGAATCCTCATGCTTTGGATCTGTGTGTCCATCAAGGCTGAAGTCTAATGTGTATGTTAAGAGAGTGTGTTTGCATTGGAATTGCTTCAGGTGGAAATGATTACAGAAGGAAATTTGCCTGTATTAAATTAAAGCAGATATGTATGACTCACAATGTGGAATTCTGAAGAGAGTAATTTATGTTTTTCAACTCCTCTTCAATTAAAGATAATGTATAAAGATTGAATAACTTATCAAAAAGCTTGATGAACTCTGTAACCTCTGGATGTGTCTATAAGCAACTCTTTGCTAACAAATTTGTCAGTGCTGGCCCCAAGTGGCCAACAGGAAAAGCACTTATTGCAGATTTGTGAGTGTGTGTTTGTTTCAGCATTAACTGTTACTTACAACCATGTCTGTCATGATGTCATCTTCCATCGCCAACTGGACCCGATCCCTGCAGAAACAGACAGGTGATTAATTGGAGACATGTAAACGGTCGATCAGACAAGCAGACAGTCGTTCAGGACGACAGGTACCTGTAGAGTGAGGTGATGAGTCTCCATGAGCAGCTCTCCTGCTGCAGCAGCCAGCGGACTCCTGCTGTTTTACTGTTCTGACCCGCTCTGAGGACCACAGACTGCAGCACGTCCACCTTAAATATGGCGAGGGAGGGTTAGAGGTTAGAGGTGCTGGCAACAGGTGTATTTTGGAAATTTGCACAGCCTAGTTTGAATTCGTTTTTATTTTCCAATGTATCAGGGGAAATCTATGCACTCACATTGCCATGGTTACAAAATGATTTGCATAAATATATGCATAACATATACAGATCACTTCTGTAACAGCTCATGGGTTGAAGATTAGTAGAAGGTTAGTACAGGTAGTATAAAATTCAAACATCTACCATCATAAAATACTGCGGTTGGTCTGCCTTACTTTCACACCACAAAGCTGTTTGATTGACAGTTCCCTCATAAAGATTAGACATTAGCACACTCACTCACACAAAACCTACCTTGTCCTGGCAGAGTGTCTGATAATCCTCCAGCAGCTCAAACACCGCAGAGGAAGAGTGTTTCAGAAAAGACGTGAGGAACTCTGGGAAAAGACTGGCAGCCGCTGAAAAGATAAAAAGCAGCAGCGTTAACAAACGGGAGTGCTGTAAACTAACAGTGCAGAGTAACAGGGGTGCGTTTGTTTTACTCACCAGCCTCTCCTGGGTCGTCCTCCTTTAGTAGTGCTGAGCTAAGGTTGGTGATGTCTTCAGTGAAGAAGCTGGTGTTCTCCAGTCCCGACACAGGTGACGTGTACATGCTGTTGGTCCAATCACTGTCATCCAGATTCTACATACACAGACACACATCATCATTAATCAGGAATTCATCATGTAAACTGTCACTTTTTATGCCATGGGTGACAGATTTGTTGTTGTGTAACAGATTTTTGTTTGCTCAATTAAATTATTCTTTCTGTGATCATAGTTTCACCACAAAATATATTCTATTTGCTTTGAAAACACATTATTCTGCGCTCAAAATGTCACATTGCGCACTCAGGAATGAGGCACAAATGTAACGCAGAAGAATCTGACCATCGTAAGAGCAAGTCTCATGGAAAAGAGCAAGAGAGGTTTAAGATAAGAAAACAAAAATATTCTTGCAATTTCAGGTCCCTCTGGGTCCTGAAGTGAAAGTCCCGTTCATTTTTCCTCACAGCTAGAGCACTTTTACAAGTCACACATCACGTCTCAAGTCTATGAGTGTGTGTGTTTGTGTCTTACCATACTGCTGGGTGCGTTTCTGGGTGTGTGTGTGTATCGAGGCGTTCGACCTCCTGGAGCCAAAATGGAGGAAACATCTGGAACCCTGGGAGTTACTGAGAAAGAGAGAGAGATGAGACAGGAGTGGGGATTTAGTCACATATGGAGCTCTTTACTATTAGAGGTTGTATCAGGATTAATATCAGCTGGTGTGTGTCCCCCCCCTACCAGCTTGTCTGAAGAGCGAAGCAGGAGTTGCCCTCAGGAGGGAGCGGGCTGGTGTTACCATGGAAACGATGGGGCTGCCGTTGCCAGGTGACGGGACTGAGACCAGCAATCAGGAAAACAACAGCAAAAGAATCCTAGGCGCTCATCTCAGAGCATACACACCTTAGTCATTAAATAAATGCAGTAGCCAGAGTGCCGAACGGAAACAAAAAATAAATGGAGACAACAAACAGTTTTACATTGTGAATGGCGGAGTCAGCCATTCCTGGGCTGGATTTCACTGCCTTCACAAAAACAAGGGATTCAAAGGAAACAATGTAATCCAGCATTACTGTTTGTATTTTTATCTCCGTGATATCAGCCTCACTGGTTACTGTTCCCTCTCCTACAGCTGATCAGAGCTGAATTAAGTTACAGTTGATAGTAGCTCATTCAACACAATGTTGGCCTTTATTGTGAAGCTGTCATGGGAAACACAAGGTATTTCTCAATGAGGTTGGTGTTCTCCATAATCACTCCTATTTTTTTCACTAACACAGTAACACACTCAATCTTCCAGATAGAGGATACAGGCCACTTTCTTCCTCCTCCTACGGGCAGCGATCGTCACCTCGTCGTCTCGGACCACAGGAGACGGCAGCTCACTCTGACCCCTAGACAACAAAATGAGTAAAAACATGTTATTACTAACATGAGAACAGGTTAGTTCGAAAAAAAAAAAAAAAAAACTCGTCTGACACAAAGCGGTCATGCAAAATCAAATTCTGCCTAAATATGACAAAACTAGCATCTTAATAAGGTAATATCTATAAAAAATTAAGTAAACAAGACCATGCATTCAAAGCCAACTTTTGATACTGACAGCAGCAGTCTTGTCTAAATCTATTCACCTTTTTGATTAATTGATTTGTTTAAAAATGTCAGAAAATAATGAAAAATGTCATCAAAACCTCCCAGAGCCTGAGATAACATTTTCAAGTTGTTAGTTTTGTCTGAGCAACAGTCAAAAACCCAAAGATTGTGAAGTGAATTTACGGAGACTTTAAAAGGAGCAAAGTTCTTGCATTTGACATGACAGAACCAGGTAATATTAAGCACATTTACTTTATAAAAAAAAAAAAAAAGCAGATTAAAATGGTTAATCCATTATCGAAATAAGTGCAGTATACTCTAACACTAATACAACAGTCCTGCAGTAAATTCTTCCTTTGTGAAGATCATAATTAATATTCCGCTTTTGTTGAAACTGTTTTAAAGCGTTGATAATTTCAACTGTGCACTAACAGGTATTTGAAGGCTGTTGTATGATTGCATTAGTTTTGGGTAGCTGTACCTAATAAACTGCAAACTGAAGGCTTGGTACTGTAACATTCACAGAGGTCAGATTACTGAATTAAGTACTTTTAATTTTAGTACCTTTCCTGATAATTCTTATGTACTTTTACTTAAGTAATATATTAGGTTCAGGAGTATTTACGGTGTGGTACTTGAGTACTACTTCCACTACTGAGTTTATGTCAACATAAGACAAACCAGGCAGCACTTAGCCTGCTAGCTTCTGCACCGACTATGAACGGCATCTTTAGCAGTTTTAGCGTCGTTAGCCCCAGCTAGCGGAGTAAACTAACCCGACGCGGACCAGCCGGCTGAATAACCAGCTAACGACCAGAAGCGCGGCTCATATACAGAACTAAAATTAAAGATGTGTAAAAGCTTATAAAAGTCAAGGAATTGTGAATTTATATATATTTACCAGTCCATGGTTGTGAGCTGTCAATTCCCGCTTCACGAGGTTTAGGCTTCTTCTTCGTGTGTCTTAATTCCTCTTCTTCTTCTTTTGAATTTCCGGCAGACGGTTCAGCGTTAGCTTCCAGAATATCTAGCTCCACAGGTGGAAGCCTCTGGCGTCGATTAATTGTACTATTATTGGTAGCAGGGTTTGATTGGTGTTCAATTCATTGTTTTTAGGAGAATATGTACTGTTTATAAACATGCTTACTAAGTCATAACTGTGACAAACTCATTCTTATTTGTGTCAGATTGTTTTTTTATTGTCTTATTCAGCTCACACAGTTTTCTGTGCGGAGTGAGTCACCTGTTACTAGATGATCTCTGTTCTACCCTCCGGTCCGTTAGCAGCCGCTGTTGCTCCATACACGGACGTTAAACGGTGTTAAACGCAGAGGAAACAGGAACACACGGGGCGGTTTTTAAGCAGAAAACACGGGCTGTGTACAGCAGGGGAGCAGGGAGGCAAAATCTCCCAGTACTGTAACGGGGATTCGTCACTGCGAAGGCCGGGATTGGAACTTCGCTCTGCCGGGGAGAGGCGCGCGCTAAGCCCGCTAACTCACGGATATTTGTTTGGCCGGAGGGAGACAGGCAGAGCAAGACACAGGGGAGAAGCAGGGAGACTGATGGAAAGATGGAGACCCCAGGTAAACTTTTCTTATTGCGTGGCATAATGACAGACAGACGGACAGACAGACAGACAGACAGACACTGAAGCAATTGGTCTTGATGAAATGAACTGATTGAGTTACATTCAGTCTTAAAACTGTAATGTGCTAACTAACACTGACACGTATCATTTAACCAGTAATTTACTGTTTAACCTACACTAGTTGTATATTGGTATTCATATTAAAGTCAGTGTTCAGAGCATCAAGCCGAACTTCATTTAAAAAAAAAAAAAAAAGATTTTACTGTCACGCATTATGTTTTCTTTCCTCTGTTGTTAGAGTTATTGGTGAAAACAGTGATGGAAAGTAATATAGTACAGTTGAGTATTTTACTTAAGTATAATTTTGAGGTAATTGTACTTTATTTGACGCTTACAGTTTAATGCTAGGCTACGATACTTCACTACATTTTGGAGGCAAATATTGTACTATTTTCTTTCTTAGATTTATTAAACAACTACAGTGACATCTAACTTTGCAAGTTTTACATACAAGACAAATATTGTCAGCATTTTTTTTTGTGAAACTATCAAATATAAAAGACAACAAATTTCCACCATTTCAGTATATTATATTATATTTAGGCCTGCAACTAATCGTTATGTTAATTATAATTCAATCAGCTAATTATTTACAATTAATTATTAAATACCTTTTGTCAGTAACTTGTAACTAAAGCTGTAAGAGTAGTAAAGTAGAAGTGTAAAACAGCATAAAATAGTGAAAGTAAGTTGTATTTTTCCTTCAATGCAGTACTTGCACAGTAAAGTACTTATTTTTCACCACTGCCAAACATTAAACTAAGTAGTTATTATTAGCTTCACCTGCACTGCTTCCACAGTAATGCATCCTAAATTATATTATGATAATATAATAAAATATAATAATCTAACACTGAAATGTGCAGTTCTTCTGCATAATGTGTGTTTTTAGTGTCTTTTGCTGACAATACTTAATGTACTCTTACTGAAGTAAAATTTTGAATGCAGGACTTTTACTTTTTATAAAGTATTTTTACATTGTAATATTTTACTGAGTATTTACTGAGGTAAAAGGTATATTGAATACTTTTTCCACTAGTAGGTAAAAAAGTATTACCTTAACATGCTTTCAATATCAGTATCGGTCAGACTGTATTTCTGTCTCACATGATATAATGATTTATCTCACATGCATCATCTGTAACATGGCTGAAATTTCAGACTTTCTAAGATTGACTTCCTCTTCTTCTTTTTTTTTTTTTTTTGCAGTGTGAACAGCGAGTTCAGAGAAGTTAAACAAAGCTTGGCTGGGGTTAGCTAAGCTTCCATAACCATGGCTGACAAGCTGTTTAGTTTTTCAGTCAACAGGCGCATTGTCGCCGGGCTGCTGGTCAACCTGCTGTCCTCCATCTGCATTGTTTTTATCAACAAGTGGATCTATGTACACTATGGCTTCCCCAACATGACGTTGACCCTCGTGCACTTTGTGGTCACGTGGCTGGGACTCTACATCTGCCAAAAAATGGACGTTTTCTCTCCAAAAAGCCTCCCAGTCCGCAGGATCGTGTGGCTGGCTCTGAGCTTCTGTGGGTTCGTGGCCTTCACCAACCTCTCCCTGCAGAACAACTCCATAGGGACATATCAGCTGGCCAAAGCCATGACCACACCCGTCATCATCCTCATCCAGACCACCTACTACAAGAAGACCTTCTCCACCAAGATTAAACTGACACTGGTAAGGAAAGCTTAAATCATCCCCTGAATGTAGTAGCTGGCTAAAGCTGTGACCACAGTCTGCAAGAGTTGTGCTACCCAACTTTGTTGCATACGTCGTCCATGAGTGTCATGCATTGTGAAGAGATGTGCAGTATCAAGTGAGAAGAGGTAAAGACATGGAGTGGAGCCAATGTTTTTCATGATCTTGGCAAATTAATAGTCAGTAGTGGATGAGAAATATGGACAAAAAGAGCAAAAATAAAGTCCATTTAGTGGGTTTGGATTGTTCTCTGGTTCTCTGAGTAATATATGTGTACACATCTCTGTAGGTCTGCCTCAAGTACTGTCGATGTTTGTTCTTGCCAAACCAGTTTCAAGGCTTCATGTAAAAGTTTTGGAGGTCCCTTAGGGTGTTCATTGGTTTTCAGGGCCAATATTGTCTCATGCCTTTGTGATTTATAACATTATGATGAGCTGCAACAGGCAGTTCTGTTGTTTTGAACTTCTGCCTGTCTGTTTCTTTGCCTGTCTTTCTCTCCAGGTGCCCATAACATTAGGGGTGATATTGAACTCGTACTATGATGTGCGGTTCAACCTGCAGGGGACAGTGTTTGCATCGCTGGGTGTTCTGGTGACGTCGCTTTACCAAGTGGTGAGTAAATATACGACCTGAAATAAAAGAAAGACAGAGTGGTTTTGTGAAATTGTTAGGAGTAAAATGAATCTTTTTTTTCCCTCTCTACCTGTCTGTCTCTCTGCCTGTCTCTCTCTCTCTCTCTCTTTCTCAGTGGGTGGGGGCTAAACAACATGAGCTCCAGGTGAACTCCATGCAGCTGCTCTACTATCAGGTATAACTCAACACTAGAGACTGATAAAAAATGTGCAATAAGAGGAGTGGTACCGCTTTATAATTCGATATCAATAGTATCACCGAATCAGCAATTTAATAGAATGTTAATCCTGTGAATATAATATTTAAAATGGCAATTTAATACTCAGTATCTCCACCTATTGCCTCTAATACGTGTAAGATGCAGATCCGCTGAAGGCATCCCTAACTACTGATACTGTGACTGTGATGTTGTGTGTTCTATTAATAAGCGATGAGATGTTATGACGAATGTTAACACAGTGACTGTCCCGTCAGGCTCCTCTGTCATCAGGCTTCCTGCTCTGTATTGTTCCTTTCTTTGAGCCGCTGACTGGAGACGGAGGAATATTTGGACCATGGTCTCTGCCTGCTCTGGTCAGCCTCACCATGACACACACAAACACACACACACACACACACACACACACACACACACACACACAACACTTGGTTAAAACACACACTGAACACACACATGCCAGCCCACACTCTGCCCTTTTAAAAGAACTAGTTTGTGCTTTAATTTAGTTATGTTTAAATTTGGACTTATGAAGCACTTCAGTTACAACCAGGCTGAGTGTGAACTTAAAGAATAGCTGGCGCCATTGGCTCCAGTTCATGTTGCTAAGGTAACAGTGTTGTCCTTTTGTTGCCTAGGTGACAGTGCTGTTCTCAGGTGTGGTGGCGTTCCTGGTCAACCTGTCCATCTACTGGATCATTGGAAACACCTCAGCTGTCACGTATCCTTGAAAACACGGGCGCCCCAAATGGCCAGTCGGTTTAGGGGGGGGTGCAGTGGTTGGAGACGGAGGTTCTTCTGGGCAGGTTCTTGAGGTAGTTGAAGGTTCTAGGGCTTTGAGGTTTTAAGGGTTTGTTAGAAGTCTTCTTCCTGCAGGATTTAAAGGGTTTGAGGGTTTTTCTTCGTCTCCTCGACGGGGAATTTTTATGTTTTCTTGGGGAGCTTTGAAGCTTTGTGGTGAACTTTTCTAGTCTTGTTGAAAGGGTTTCAGAAGCTCTTGAGAAGGTTTCCAGTTTCCTGGAAGGAGGATTTTGGTGTTCTTGGAAACCTTTTGAGGGCTTTATTGCATGCTTCCTGGTCTCTTTGAAAGGGTTTCATAACCTCTTGAGAATGTTTCTCCTGTTCTCGAGATGGTTTTTGATTATCTTGGTAAGTTTTGACCGTGTTGCAAAAAGATCTCTAGTCTGGTTGAAATTGTTTCAGAACATTTTTGAGAAGGTTCCTGGTCGTCTCGAGGAGGTTTTTGGGTTTCTTGGGAAGGTCTGGAGGTTGTGAAGAGGTTTCTAATCTTACTGAAGAGCTTACTTAAAACTCTTGATCAGATCTTTGGTGTTCTTTTGGGGTTTGTGGGAGAGTTAAGGGATGTAAGTCTCATCTTTATTATTTATTAACGGTTCATGGATGTCTTCAGGAAGTGATTTTAGATATTCATTGTTCCAGGTGGTTTTGGTTTGTGTTGTTGTTCTCCTGACTCTAGTTCGCAGCTACAACATGTTTGGACATTTTAAATTCTGCATCACCCTGATTGGAGGATACCTGCTCTTCCATGACCCGCTGTCACTCAACCAGGTGAGTCTCGCTCTGCTGCCCTGATGATTCAAACCAGCAACCTCCGATTTCCCCCCAAACCTTCTTGTCTCTACCTGTCTGTCTGTCTTCCTGTCTCTCTCAGGCATTGGGGATCCTCTGTACTCTGGCAGGTATCCTGTCATACACTCACTTCAAGCTGGTCGAACAGGAGGAGGGGAAGAGCCGCCTGGCTCAAAGACCATAGGTTGACTTACCTGTCGATCACCTGCACGGACTCCTGCCATTGGCTGCCCACAGTGTGACCGGCGGCAGAGACCTCTTTATATATTTTTAATTTTGTTATGAGTATTTTTTTAGGAGAGTAAAGAATTTCATGCTGGTTCCCAGACGGGGTTTAAAGTGTACGACATGTCAACACGTCCTCTGCTCTTCACGCTCTTCCCATGATTCTTTGCTCAACAACGCTGATGTTTATGTTTTTAAGGGAAACTGAAGCTCATCACGTCGGCAGCTGGACTTTCTGTTTTTTTTTCAGCTGCTGACATGAAAGTGAAAAGTGTATGAAGGAATACGAACGCTGGTTTTTACACGTACAGATGCAGAGGGTCACATTGAGCTTCTTCCCAGAATTCATTGCTGCTGTTGGTGGATTGAATCAAAAGGAGACAAGGTGGGCAGTTAAAGGACTGTGAGAGACACCAAACCTTCATCTGCTGCTGGATGCAGGCGCTGCCATGAGAACAATGTAATAATAGTAATGATATTAGAAAAATAATAATAGTGTTTTTTCTTTTTCATGCTAGTTCAGTTCATCCAGCAGAAAAAAAAAGGCAGCTCAACTCACACACCCAAAACAAAATATCTCAACACAGTACATCCTCTTCCAGGTGTTTTTGCTTTTGCCCAGAGCAGCTATAGTGTTGGAAAATGTCCACATTTCTGACAGCCGACATCAAGGCAGAAGAAATAGAGGGGAATCAATCAATCATTAATAACCAAGTGTATTGGATTAGTTTCGGGATGTTGTGTGTACCTGCTGTTTCTGGACTCTAAACAGTCTCTTAAACCCCTTTTTATAAGCTCTTATCTATAAGGGATTTTTGCATTAAATTTACATGGACATTAGAAGCCAGTGGAATTCATGTTGATACCAAATAACTTGCAGCAAATTACTTCAGTGTCATTCATTACTGTCCCCTGTTTACACTAAGGCCACCTGCCATGTGTTTATAGTGAGTTTAAACCATGGCTATTTGCACACAAAAATCTGAACTTTCCTTATAATATATTTTGACACTGACTTAGAATCATAGTGAAACTATTTTCAAGCTCAGTTTATTCTAAAGACGTATTTACGCCATCGAATCCACTGTCTTAACTATAAATTAAACTGGATGGTGTAATACAGCTAATAAACGACAATGGCTTCCTCCATCTTGGAGGTTGTCGCTATAAAGACAGTTTGCTATTAATCAACAGCACGCATTTACTTCTCATTCTTCCCAAAAGTTAAACTCAAGCATGAAAAATGTTTACCTCGCTGATTTAACTGAAAAATGAACCTGCTGAAAATGTTGGTGTGACCGAGCCTTTAAAGCGAACAATTATCAAGCAGCAGGAACAGCAACAATCATTTTGTTGTGAGTGATTAAATAGCTTATCTTGCTTTAAACTGAGTGTTTATGCAGTCTGCAGTATTTCAACCTCTGGTTTTGGACTGAACTTAGTCTCATACAGTGTTAGTTTAAATTATTTCTTTCTTTATTTTTATTTTTTGAAAGAACCTATTACATTTTGATGACTGTGGCTGTGTGTGGGAGGAATCTGATCACACCCACTTAACTACATCAGATTTTTTTTTCCTCTTGAGAAAACATTTCAGATGCTCTGAGGATCACAGGTGGTGAGGGGCAGGCGGGTGGTGATTAATCCCAGCTGAGATCTGTTGGGTATTTAATGATTTAAAAACTCCAGTCAGTCATTTTACTGCTGAAATAAAACTCTAATCGAATGCTCCTACAGTGATGTTTCATTACAGGAAGCAGCAAAGTGTCTTTGGATTTACCAGACAGTGGCTCTGTCTGTGATGCACCGCAGCGTGACTGTAACCATGACAGAGATTCACTATTTGCATTTCACTTTTACTGTGTTGAACAGGTTCAGTCTGCTGAATAAAATGATTTAGTGACTTTTCAGCTGTTTGGATTGTTTGTCTGCTCATTGACGGGTTGTGGAGAGTTTCCATTGATGTAGACAGTCAGCGGTGGAGGTATTCAGATCCTGAAATGAAAGTACCAGTACATTAATTTAAATATAGACCATTACAAGTAAAGTAACTACATTTAACATCCTGCTTACAACAGTATTATCAGCAAAGCATCTTACTGTTGTAGCTGCTCAAAGTGGAGCTACAGTAGTTTGAACTATTTGGGCTCTTCGCCTTCAGCCTTGAGTTAAACTGCAACAGTAAGACATCAGTAAACCTCCTGTAGGTGGATTACTTTCATTCCTTATAACCACACCTAAAATGTAGTTTTCCTGTGAACAGCGCCTCTGTGTAGCTTTCCTGTGGCTTAGAGCTGAGCTTTCAGTACCAGTGTGTGTGTGTGTGTGTGTGTCTGTTTCATCCACACTGTGTCAATAAAGCTACAACAGTAACCCTGGTTCACACACACACACACACGCACACACAAGCTAGTGGCTGTGCTGGGAGGACCTTTCAGATGAATGAATGAGTGGAAAGAGTGCGTGTTTAAAAGTATCTGTAGTCTCCTGGGGAGGAAAGTCTGAGAGCTGCTGTAAAACAACCTCACAAAGACTCTGTTCTGTTTCTTCTGAAGGTCTAACTGTTTTATTTTCAGTTAAATTACATAGTTTCTGTTTGGTTTGATTTATCCTGTTAATAAGTCAGTAGCAGCTGAGTTATTTAATTCAAGTTATATTCCCAAATAATAACACCTGCATGGAAAATTCATATTCAATTACAGCTACTACCAATACTTTTGCTACTGCTGCTACTACTACCACTACCATGGATGTATTATAAGACTATCCATCTATTGATATATACAGTCAGTGGTTGAGGAAGTAATTACATCTTTACTTATGTGAAAATAGCCATACAACAATGTAAAAATACTCCATTACAAGTAAAAGTGCTGCATTGAAAGTGTCACGAAACTACTCATAATTCAGAAAAATGTCCCCTATTAATGCGCCTATCATAGATATGATATAAATTACACTACTGGATTCGTATTACACATGTTTTAATTTGTAAGTACAGATTTACAGCTGTAGTTGGTCAAAGTGGAGTTAGTTTTAATTATATTCTGTACATACTTAAATCTATGATAATCTAATATTATATATAATATAATATAAACATAAATACCATATCCATATATAAATATGGATATGGTATACACTACACAATACACCAATACAACAATAATGTGTTTGAATATGAATATGAGAAAGTAAATAAATAAAAACAAAATTTCTTATTAATTTTATTTAATTTTAATTTATTTTAATTTGTTATTTATATTCTATTTAAATTAAAAAATATTTTTAATTACTCATATATCTTCATTTTATTTCCTATTTGTTTTTAAATACTTTAAAAACACCGTTACATGAATAGTCGCCGTGAGCATTGCCTGTCGATGTGACACAATTTGAATGAACCAAAATATAACGTTGTTCACGGGTTAAATTATAATGCGATAATATCAAACCATCTAATACGAATACGACAAACTGTGTGAAAAATATAACTAAATGAAATATTTTCAGTAAGGCATAATGTGTGGGGCCATGATGACGGGGTCCTACGTTTCACACGGAAACCGACGCTAATGACCGATGTTTGTTTTGCTACAGTTAGCAGGTACATATTTTCAATTTACTGGAACATTTACACGAAAATGAGGATTGCCAAGCAGGGATTTAGAGTGTATATTATTTCAACTTTACACTGTAACGATTTATTGCTCACTAACTATCAGTTTAACGCTGCTAAAACGTTTGTTTACATTGGTTTCTGCGCGTCCATTGAAGCTAAAGGCGTTAGCTAAATGCATTAGCTCTGCCAATGCTAACCGTGTTTTTGTCATTAATGTGTGTTAACGTTTAGAACGTTACTGCGTTTTTACATTGTTATAAAACGGATTACCTTCTCTTACAGCTAAGATTTAACTTAACTCATCACTAACACAGAAGAGCGCTAACTTTAACGTGCTAAACTAGCCAGCTGGGCTAGGCGGCTAACGAGCGGTGTCTGCAACGAAGCTGCTGCGTGGGTGTTTGTTAAAAATGTTATTTTAAACGAGCCTCTCGCTTTATTTTTTCGATTCTGTACAATTAGCAATCGAGAAATTACAACTAAATATTGTGGGAGAATTCATTTTATTTCGGTGTCATGCGAATCTATAACACCCTTACATCAAGCATTAACTATACAGCAGTTTCCATCAGGCTGGTTACACATTAATCCAATTAATTATTTCAAGAAAAGAAAAACTTTGCATGAATAAACCCACTCATTGATGATCGATCACTCATTGATTCACGGTTGTCTTCCTTAGCTCCCATTCATTACTTAAATAAGATGCCTATTTAAATGTCTCTTTTTATCTAACAACCATTTAAGTCCTCGTGAATCATTCATACCCATCAACCCACTCACATGCTTTATATCATTAAACAAAAACTAGTACGAATGACAATAAAACAATATAATGATTTTCATTTTTAGTTTCTTCTAAGTCACACACACTGTCAAAGTCAACTTTCATCTTTCAAAGCAGTGAACAGACCCATCTCAATAAGAGGAGACAGAATACCAGCTCTCATCTAGGCACAAACAAGTCTTTTTTTTTCTTCGATTCATTAAAAAGGACATCATTTTAGAAAAATAATCCTATTTAATTAGTGCCACAACAATAAGTTGTGCAACAGATGGAATATTTACTCAGACAGTTAGGAGAGTGTTTTAGGATTCTGGAAATGGCTTCAAAAGAGCAGTGTTGTTAAACAACCATTTCTTGTTGTCTCTCCTCAGTATGCCTGCTGAACGCAAGCGCTCAGTAAACATGGATGAGAAAGATGTTTGCTCCTTCAGTAACAAGGAAAAAGAGAAGGACAGAGATGGTGAGAGAAGACCAGCGTCTGCTCGGGACAAAGCAAAAGATGAGGCCAAAATGAGTGGTAAGAAAGAAGGTGGCAAGGAGGAGAAAAGAAAGCGCCTAGAGGAGGAAAAGAAGAAGAAAGAGGAAAAGGAGCGAAGAAAGAAGGAGGAGGAAAAACAGAAAGCGGAGGAGGAACAGAAAAAGAAAGAGGAGGAGGAGAAGAGGCAACAGGAGGAGCAGGAGAGGAAACTTCAAGAGGAGGAGGCTAAAAGACAACGTGAAGAGGAGGCAGCACTCCTGAAGTAAGTGGTGGTGAACTTTGCTGTTGTCATCTTTGTAAAGCCTCCTTCTTCTCAGAGGCATAATAGATTCAGCATAATCAATATCAAATCAAAGTAATCCGATGATAGTTTTTTGCTTTTTTTTTGTTTTCATCATATATCTTTATCAATTTTACCTACTTTCTACAGGGAAAAGGAGGAGGGGCATCAGCTGCACCAGGAGGCCTGGGAGCGCCATCAGTGCAGGAAGGAACTCCGCAGCAAGAACCAGAACGCCCATGAGGGTCGACCTGAAGAGGCCTTCTTCAGCCGACTGGACTCCAGCCTTAAAAAGAACACTGCCTTTGTCAAGAAGCTGCGTACACTCACTGAACAGCAGCGGGATTCACTCTCCAACGACTTTGCTTCACTGAACCTCAGCAAGTACATCGGCGAGGCCGTGAGCTCCGTCGTGGAGGCCAAGCTGAAGATCTCTGATGTGGGCTGCGCTGTGCATCTGTGCTCCCTCTTCCACCAGCGCTACGCTGAGTTCGCTCCGTTACTGTTACAGGCGTGGAAAAAGCACTTTGAAGCAAGGAAGGAGGACAAGGCGCCTAATGTGAGCAAGCTGCGCACAGATCTGCGCTTCATTGCCGAGCTCACCATCGTCGGCCTCTTCACAGACAAGGAGGGTCTCTCACTGATTTATGAGCAGCTGAAGAACATTATTAGCACCGACCGGGAGACGCACACTCATGTGTCAGTGGTCATCAGCTTCTGTAAGCACTGTGGGGACGACATTGCTGGTCTGGTGCCCCGTAAGGTGAAACTGGCTGCTGACAAGTTTGGCTTGTCCTTCCCTCCGAGCGAGATCATCAGCACAGAGAAACAGCAGCCCTTCCAGAACCTTCTACGGGAGTACTTCACATCACTCACCAAACACCTGAAGAAGGACCACCGGGAGCTGCAGAACATTGAGAGGCAGAACAGGTGAGTACTTCCTTTGTCATCGGGCAATAGAGCTCCTTGGTCACTTTTTGTTGCTCACTATCATACAACTTTCTCCTCTTCAGGCGAATCCTTCATTCCAAAGGGGAGCTGAGTGAGGACAGGCACAAGCAGTATGAAGAGTTTGCCACTTCCTACCAGAAGCTGCTGGCCAACACTCAGTCCCTGGCTGATCTGCTGGATGAAAACATGCCAGAGCTGCCTCAGGACAAGACTGTGCAAGAGGGTGTGTTTCCAGAATTGTAGTTAAATTAAACATGCTCTTGTGATGTTTGTTTTTACACGTGTGCGTCATATTTTTTATATATGTAAATCTCTTTCTCTGCTCTCTCAGAGCATGGTCCTGGTATTGATATTTTCACCCCTGGTAAGCCCGGAGAGTATGACCTGGAAGGAGGGATCTGGGAAGATGAAGACGCTCGTAACTTCTATGAGAACTTGGTGGACCTGAAGGCTTTCGTCCCTGCCATCCTCTTCAAGGACAACGAGAAGAGCGGCCAGGGGAAAGACAAGGATGACGCCAAAGGTATCTTTCATGTCTCCACAGACTGATGAAGAAGGAGAGTCTTTCAGTGTTGTTCTGACTGTGCTGCTGTTTCTGGCCTCTTCAGATGGGAAAGAAGGGAAGGACACAGCCAGCACCACAGAGGAGCTGGAGCTGGAGCTGGAGGCTCTGGAAATCACGGATGAACCTCTGGAACTGGAGGGAGCAGACGAAGCGGAAAACGAAGAACTGGCCAAAAAACTTCTGGATGAGCAAGGTAAACAAGTCCTTTTCATAAAAGAATGGTAATTTTACATGTCAACCCAATGTCAGTTGTACCTAAAGATCACACCTCAGTTGTACGACCACAATTATAATCAGTCTTTATATTTCAAACTTGAAAACATAAAGCATGAAACTCCTGGTTTAATGTCCTCTATGCATGTGCACTATTGAACATTATAAAATAGGCAGCAGAATTTTCTAATAAATTAGAAAATGTATCAGGGGACTCATGGGAAGAGAAGCTGGGTGAGCGTCTCTTGCACAAAACGATTTTTTAAAAGCTTCAGTGGCAAAATAAGTGGGAAAAAAGTGGATTTTTTTATTTTTGTATGTGTAGAACAAGAGGACGAGGAGGCCAACACAGGGTCCCACTTGAAGCTAATCGTGGACGCCTTCATCCAGCAGCTCCCCAACTGTGTCAACAGAGACCTCATAGACAAGGTGAGGAGAACGTTTAACATGTTGTTTATAAGTTAAAATGTCTTATTTTGTGTCGGGATGATTTGATAGAAACAAATGATACTGTCTGCAACAAAATGATACTGTGAAAGCATTTCATCCATATTTCCACCTGACCTCTGCTCTTACATATTATACAGCGTTACAAATGAGTAATGGCAGGTCATGCACTTTGTTGTCTCCTGCAGGCTGCCATGGACTTCTGCATGAACATGAACACCAAATCTAACAGGAGGAAGCTTGTCCGTGCTCTCTTCACTGTCCCCAGGCAGAGGTAAAGCTTTGCAAACTGCATCTATATTATGACCATGAGTATGTAGATAACTTTTAAACCATATGAACAGCTTTGATCGATTTTAAAGCTGCACTAATCCATATTTTTATATTTGCAATGGATCAAATGGCTGTGTTGCCTCGGTGCCCTGGAGCGATTTAGCCTCTTTCAGTTCATTGTTTTGATAGATCTGCTGTTAACCACCTGCCCAGCACCAAACAGCAGACAGACACAGTTAGAGACAACGTTTAGCAGCTAAAGAGCCAGATGTTTTTCTGTGCAGTTAGTAGAGACCAGAACAGAGCAAAAAGAGAGGGAATATTGGACTAATCAGGAGTCCATAAACAAGACTCAGTACCATGCCTGAAGGTATCTCATGCAGACACAGACAGTGGACTGAAGCTGCTACTCGGATGTGTAGACAAGGTGTCAGGATGGCAATAATCTACAATTATCATTACTGTCGACTAATTCCATGAAAAGCCAAATCCAACATTGTATTACACCATCTCTTAATTCCTTTTGACTTTCCTGCCTGTGGCGTTCGGCCTCAAGCCCATTGGCTCCTGCTGAGGATGTAAATAAAATAAAAAAAGGCTCAGTAATTTCCCAAAACAGTTGGACACTAGCTTCTAACAAACAGGAAGAAATAGTGCATTTGTTGGGGACTATCTTCAGCGGCGGATGAATACATATATGGTGCTCTAGTGTGTATTTGGCACTGAAGAATAGGACACATCAGGCTTTGGATATATACTACAACATATGTAATGTTGGTTTGGGTCTTTTCATGGGATTTATTGACAAGGAAAATATAGACTGTTACCTCCAAACACCAGCAGGTGGTGCTGTTGTCTTAATTTCTAGTCTCTTGCTAATCAGTGGAGCACTGACTCTTCCTCCTCTCTCAGGTTGGATCTGCTGCCCTTCTACTCTCGCCTGGTGGCAACTCTTCATCCCTGCATGTCAGATGTGGCTGAGGACCTCTGCTCCATGCTGAAGGGAGACTTCAGGTTTCACGTAGGTATATAGGCTTAATACTGTGAATGGCAAGGTTGAATTTTTTTGATAATTTTGTGTGTGTGTTTGCGCTTTTAGATTCGGAAGAAGGACCAGATCAACATCGAGACCAAAAATAAAACGGTCAGATTTATCGGGGAACTGGCCAAGTTTAAGATGTTCTCAAAAACAGACACGCTGCATTGTCTCAAGGTGGGTGAAGAATCTGTTTCTGAGATCTGAGGCTTTGTTTTCTCTGAGCTGATCAATGGTAATGTTTAAACTGAACTGTGTGTGTGTGTGCCAACAGATGCTGCTGTCTGATTTCACCCATCACCACATAGAGATGGCCTGCACACTGCTGGAGACCTGTGGCCGCTTCCTGTTCAGATCCCCCGACTCTCACCTGCGTACCAGCGTCCTGCTGGTCAGTACACATCCTCATCGTCATCACAGTGGATCAGCCTGGTTAAAACAGACAATAATAATCCAATACAAATCTTTATTACCCTGCCTTCAAGTGTGGCTTCTCAGAACAGCTGGAAACACTTCCAGCGTGTATACATGTTAGTTAGTTAGACTGTACTTTGTAGAAATATTGAACATTGAAGTTGTGGTGTTTATGAAAACAGCTGATATTTTGGTCAAATCCTGTCTGCGTTTCAGGAGCAAATGATGCGTAAAAAGCAGGCGCAGCATCTGGACGCTCGCTATGTGACTATGGTGGAGAATGCGTACTACTACTGCAACCCCCCGCCCATGGAGAAGACGGTGAAAAAGAAGCGGCCGCCGCTGCAGGAGTACATCCGCAAGCTGCTCTACAAGGACCTGTCCAAGGTCACCACCGAGAAGGTGCTGAGGCAGATGCGCAAACTGCCGTGGCAGGACCCCGAGGTCAAGAGCTACCTGATCTGCTGCATGGTCAATATCTGGAACGTCAAGTACAACAGCATCCACTGCGTGGCCAACCTGCTGGCCGGCCTGGTGGCCTACCAGGAGGACGTGGGCATCCATGTGGTGGACGGAGTGCTGGAGGACATCCGGCTGGGCATGGAGGTAAGACTGTGATGTAATAATATTTACTGACAAAAGACGAGAGGGTTTTGTTTATATATCATTGATGAGTCCAGAGTGGTGAGGTAATGTACAGTGAGAGGACAGGAAGACAAACGAAACCAGGTGTAAATCTTGACTGACAGTTTTGACAACTGATTGAAGCCATGTTGTTACTGTCATAAGTGTGACGGGCACCGCTGCATGCTGCAGGACACGTGAGAATGTCGCCTGGCTCAGTCATGTTTTCACAACACCTCTAACTGTTTCATGTGGTTGAATCTACAACTCTGTGACACCAGAGTAGGTCAGAATTATGTAACTCTGATGAGTCGTTCATTTTGCTGTTAATAGATTTGTACCTTTTACTTAAGATTTCTAATGCAGGACTTTTTACTTGTAGCAGAATATTTTTACAGTGTTGTATGACTGCTTACTTTAATATAAAGAGAGCAATTATTTAAAATATTAACTAAAATTGCAACATGGCCAAGTGCAGTATCGAAATTGCAGGAGCTGTAATTTTTATGCCGACAGTCAAGGCTGGAGTTTTCAGGTTCTCCGTCTCATTCTTGTGAACATGATATCTCAGTGATGCCTTGAGGTAACTTTGGCACAAACTCTCACTTGGACTCAAGGATGAACTCATCAGATTTTGGTCAAAGTTTACAGTCACGGTGACCACACACTCTTGTGAATGCAGTATATCAGGAAATCCCGGAGGTAATTTTATGAAACGGTCACAAAACATGTTTTTGGCCATGACTTACAAATTGCTTCACAATAGCATAATAGCATATAATAATAGCATAAAATGAAGTGATGACGCTTCTGGCCATTGTTCAATACTGTTTCTCAGGAACAGGAGATTGTGACCATATTTCCTGCAACTTGGCTGGTTGGTTGGTGGAAGCAGAAAACCGCGAGGCGGTAATTCTAGTTTTGATAAAGGTGAAATGTGTCTCAACATGCCATAAATGAAGCATTGTGCTGCTACAGAGATGCCCCGGCCTATAAATCATATTCTCCAAACATAAGGGAACGTGTTTGTTTGGTACAAGTCCCAGAAAAAAATCACATCATCATCATTTTTATGTTTCTTTCAGTGAAATGCTGAAATGACCATCCCCAATTAAATTCTGACTCATATAATCCACTGCTGTCTATTCACAGGTCAACCAGCCCAAGTTCAACCAGCGGCGGATCAGCAGCGCCAAGTTCCTGGGCGAGCTCTACAACTACCGCATGGTGGAGTCGGCCGTCATTTTCCGCACCCTCTTCTCCTTCATCTCCTTCGGGGTCAATCAGGACGGCAGCCCCAGCCCTCTGGACCCCCCAGAGCACCTGTTCCGCCTCCGCATGGTCTGCACCTTGCTCGATACGTGCGGCCAGTACTTTGACCGCGGCTCCAGCAAGAGAAAGCTGGACTGTTTCCTCATCTACTTCCAGGCATGTCTGCTCACAATACACCTCCATGCTCGGTCCTGTGTTATTGTGCACATACGTGAATGTGGTGTTGTTCTGTGGACTGGCTAATTAATTAATTGACCAATCATTGCAGCTGTGTACTTTTCTCTATGCAGCCATTTATGCCGTGATAAATCTCAAGCGACTTCAATAAAATGATGTCCTGTGTTTTCTGCAGCGGTACATCTGGTGGAAGAAGAGCATTGATGTTTGGACCAAGGACCACCCGTTCCCCATCGACATCGACTACATGATCAGTGACACCCTGGAGCTGCTCAGGCCCAAGATGAGGCTCAGCTGCTCCCTGGACGAGGCCACGAAACAGGTCGCCGACCTGGAGAGGGAGGTGCTTGTCAAGCTAGGTAAGAGTGACACAGTGTGCTCGTATCCAAAGTGTCTATATCCGGCATGTAATTACTGCATGTGTGAAGGATTGTGAGTGTGCAGCAGCCGGTCTCTCCGGTCGATCCGCTCTCTGTCGCCCCGGCTGAGCAGCATTCCCCGGTGTGTAGGAGGACGATCGATCGTGCTGCATCACTCCTCATCCTGCTTCATCTGTCAGACAGGTTCATCTCAGCTAAACACACATACCTCACACATACACTCAGTCAAAGGGCCCAGACAATACAGAGATTTAAGGAATGATAATTGTGAATTAAAATAAATGTAAAGAATGACGTCGGTCACCGAGTTTCTCTGTGCAGAGTTTATTAGAGGTGGTTCACCTGAATAGATTTGTCACCACCAAAAATGTTATTAATGTTTTGGTTTGTCTTTTCAAAAGTCCGTGACATGCATCCGTGTGTTTCACATCGATTGACAGGAATGTAATCATCTGTTTTCAGAACCAATCAGTCACAGAAGTCTTGTTTTCATGCCAAGACACCAAATATTCTCTGATTCTAGTTTCTCATAGGACATGATTTTTAGATGTTGTTTGTAAACTGGATATCTTTGAGTGTTGATCACAAGTAAATGTCCACAACTCGCAGAAAAAAGACGGAAAGACTGAGATTCATCACATTTTTACTGCTTTGTTTTATAACGTCCAACAGTGAATGACAAGTCATAAAGTTGGAACTGCTGTTAAGTTCCTATTTGCTCATGTACTGTCTGTACTGTCGTTCATGTTGTCCTACTAAGACTATCGTTGTGACTCTTATGTGAAAGTGACTCAGGCACTTGTGTTTTGTGGGTTTTGTATTAAGACATATTTGAAAAACGACTTTCCAGGAATGCAGAGACAGAAAGAGACAGAACACAATGAGCGAGACGGAGAGTAGGAAGAAGGAAACGTTTGTGTGGCAGGTGTATCTTCAAAGCACGGCAGCACTGGCTTTGTTCAACAGTATCAAGGTGTTGACTTGGAATGTGCAGAGAAAAATGTAAACATTAGCTCCACCCTCAGAGAGAGTGACACTGTGGGGCCGACTGCAGGCCGCTGCAACACTCAGATCCTTTACTGAAGCAAAGTTAGCAGCACAACAGTGTAAAAATAAATAAGGAACATGTACTGAAAGTATCAAAAGCAAAAGTACTTATTCGTACTGTGGCTGATTGTTTATGACATAATTAGATTTTTAATACCGATACAGCAGCGAGCTACTTTGAAGTCCTTCACATAAAGTTAAATCACAAGATGGAGAAATCTTGAAGCACAAGATAAATCTGAGGGTCGTGACAGGATCAGTGGGAGAACAAAGAAGATAAAAGTGAAAAAAAATGCTGCTACACAAGTATGGATTTGTTCTTTTGGACTGTTCTCTAATCCTTGTGCTTTTTTATTGAAATATCAGAGTTTTACTTCTTTGAGCCTCGTTTGTACTGAAACATCTGTGAAAGTTAAACCGCAAACAGCTGATTTTTTTTCTGTCGGTAACAAGCCAAAAACATCAGGAACCAGTTGTTTAATCTTTAACAACAGTTTGTCTTTTATAAGCTTATTATATGTTTTTACATGACAATCTTAACTCTGCGATGTGTGTGTGTGTGTGTGTGTGTGTGTGTGTGTGTGTGTGTGTGTGTGTGTATAGAGGAGAGAATGATTGATGAGGATTAGAGGGCCCCTAAGTAACACAGTGATCCCATTGTTTCACTGTTCATACTTGAACTGGGATCAAACATTCCTCGGTTCCCGAGTCACACAAGACCTGATCTTCCACCTCAGGCCGCCTGCCTGACTTCGTTTTCTCACCGTCACCACAGCTGCATAATTAGCTCCTGTAATTGGTTGCATTTCTTATCCAGGTTGACTAATGAGGCAATAATTTCCCTCCTGAATATTTGCTCAATTAATACCTGAAGCTTTTGTTTGAGTGAAGCTGCTTTTCCTGGTTGGGCGTGGCTGCATGCATTTTGATAACGATCTCTCATAACCACCTGTGTGCAATCTAACAATCGCACGTCGTACATTGTGTTTTCACCGAGGTATGGCCATGGGGAAGGACGGCCGCTCCAGCGCCATGAGCGAAGGGGACGGGCTTGACGAGGAAGACGACGACGACGACGAAGAGGGAGGCGCTGACACTGAGGAGCAGTCAGGCAACGAGAGCGAAATGAATGAACAGGAAGAGGATGTGAGTCTTTTTGTCCTGATGACCTAACTCTCCAAAACTTCACCCTGTTCCTCTGCCCAATTGCCACTGTTGTGTTGGTGGAGTGACGCGGTGACATGACAACTGATGGCGTGTGTAAATAATGTTGTTCTTCCTTGATGATCTTGTTTGGCTGGAGAAGCCCCTGAAACTGAGGCAAGAACTTGTTCATTGTGTTGATAAAATCATAGCATGTGATATGAAAAGATTCTAATCTCCAGCTCCAGTCGCTTCCGGGTGGATTTCTTTCAAACGATTAGAGTTTTTCCCTCTTTGGAAATTTGCTCCAACGTTTTCAGACGTGAAGATTGACCGGCAGCTGGTCGATGACCAACGTCGTCATGGGGAGAACAGTCGTATCCCAGCAAGCTCTTTGCTAATTGACAGCTCGCTCTGTTGCCTCCCTAACATTTTGATATATGATACAAAAATATTTCGTCTCAGAGATTAAATATTTGTCGCTGCCACAGTAGTCTGTCTGAAGATAAAGTGAAGATTCATCTTTTTATTTTATCAACAGCGCAGCTCTGAGGGCCTTAAATGTACAGATCAGAGCTGCAACGATTAGTTGATTCTACTCGCTGTTTTACAAGAGCATAAATATCTAGAATCAGAATTTTCATAGATTTTATCAGCTGAATTTCCATTCAGTTAACAGGTTGTGCCTTTTATTTATTTATTTATTAATTAATTTATTTATTTATTTTCTTTCCACACAGGATGGGTCTGAGAACGAAGAAGAAGAGAGGGAGGAAGAGGAAGAAGAGAACACCGACTACCTGACCGACTCCAATAAAGAAAACGAGACTGATGAGGAGAACAATGTAAGATAGAACATATGAGGAGCTGTGGAGAAGAGACTCAGTGATGAACCCGTAAATCTGTCCACAAATTAAAAAGCAGTGTAACCATCGTCACGATTACAGGATGAGTGATGGTGAATGTTGACACTTGGATTTAGAGACACAGACCAGAGGTTGGAGCAGGTTATCATTAACGTCCTAACCTTGGTTCTGGCAGCAAGAGACTATTTTAAATTTAGCTTTAAGAAAACACTGATTTTATGAGACGACAGGGGGACTTTTTATCTGGTTGTGTTAATTTGCTGCGTCTGTGTAGGAGGTGACCATCCGTGGCGGTGGACTGAAGCACGTGGCCTGCGCTGAGGATGAGGACTTCATTCAGGCTCTGGATAAGATGATGCTGGAGAACCTGCAGGTACGACATCCTGCTGCTCAGCTGTCGGCTGAACTGTGAATGCAGTGAAGTCTTTGCGCCGTGCGGTCACTGAAACAGGTTTTGCATGCTTGAATCGTTGTGTACTGTTCGGTTTCAGTGTGAGTGAGGGGGAGAGAAAGTCTAGATCATTTAAAAGTTTATTCGAAGTTTGGCAAATTGACCCTCCGTTTTTCTGCAGCCACTTTCCTTCGATCCGAACATCCCAGATTGACGCTTCTTCTCACGGTTAAAGGTACAAACTTCTCCTGACTGGTGTGTTTGTGTCACTGCAGCAGCGCAGCGGCGAGGCGGTGAAGGTGCACCAGCTGGACGTGGCCATTCCTCTGCAGCTGAAGAGTCAGCTGAAGAAGGGGGGCTCCGGACAGACGTGCATCGGGGAGGGAGACTCGGACATCTCCGACACCATGCAGTTTGTCATGCTAACGCGCAAGGGCAACAAGCAGCAGGTAAAAAACACACGAGAATTGTATTAAATCACCTTTAGATCACAGTATTATTATTAATTATCCTTAATCAAGTAGAGGACTGTGTATCTGGGTATATATTGAGTCATCTGAGAGATACAGGCATGTCATGGAATACCTAAGAGCACATGTACAGAAAGAGTCACAGGCTTGTAGCCAGGGCAGATTCTTACCACCAGGGGCTGTGGAGAGAAACTTATGTTTTCCTGTGGTCCAGAGCAGCAGCCTCCATCTTTTCTTCTCTTCTGTCTGACAGTCGCTGTGTCTTCTTCTTGGTTATTTTGCAAAAGGCAGAGATCAGCACAAACAAATGCTTGATCGCCCTTTAGTTTTACCTTAAAGAGGACCTAAGGGACCCAGAGGTGTCGCTGGCTCACAAACAAAACGTCCATGAATAGACACAGGGACAGGACTGTAGTGTGGTTCTTTGGCTCGGTGTCTGGATGTATCTGAGAGTAAACGCACATGAGGAGAGGAGTGATACACTTTCACTGTCTCTGAAATTCACTCACACTCACACACTCTGACTGAGCCCAGGAATAATATTGACTCAGGACGTAGCTGTGTGGTTGTGTGGTTGTATTGCGCTTTTGTGAGGACCAGTTCCAGTTTTAAACCATGGTAGTGCAGACAGGTCTGGATTGTGAGGTCACTACTTCAAAGGGCTGTTTGAAGGTTAATTATAACTGATGTTATGTTATGGGAGGGCGGCAGAAACAGGTAGAGAGCATAACATTGACATATCGTCACATTTTAAGTTTGGTATTTGTGAATTTGTCTGAAATGAGTTGTTTATATTCACATCCAGCAGTTACAGAGCAACACGATCGTTCATGTGGAGTCGTATTTGTGTCCAGTGTTCCCGCTCTTTATTTTAGCTCTGTGTTTGGTCTCCACCAGCTCCTGAGGGAAATATCTGGCTCTTTTTAGCTGCTAATTGCTCCACTATGTCCACCAGCTGCTCTCTGACTGTGTCTGTCTGCTGTTTGCTGCTGAGCAGGTAGAGGACAGATGCTTTTTACAGATGTGTCTCTGAAAGCAGCTGCTGCAGTCGAGAGCAACGCTGTGAGAGTGAAGCAGAACAGTAAACCTATAAAGTAATGTAATATATAACACATATGTCCATACATCAAGAGTAAAGTTGTCGTATATGTTAACTATAAGGATATATTATTATCACTTGTATACACCCTCTGAATATATGAAGATATAAGTTTATAACATATAAAAAATACCTATAGTCAAATGTGAGTTTATTAAAACGACAAACTAATTCAAATTCTATATATTTAAATATAATTTTCTTAATAATTTCTTATTAATTATTAATTAATTAATTTCTAATAGTTTCCATATGTCATTTTTACATACATAGGATAAATATACATATATTATTTTACTTCATATGTACAGATACTTCATATATGGAAATTCAATACACAGTTGAGGTTTGGGTTAGGGGAACACGTTCTGTCGACGATGGGCCTCACAAGTATAGAAAGGCAAACTGTGTGTGTGTGTGTGTGTGTGTGTGTGTGTGTGTGTGTGTGTGTGTGTGTGTGTGTGTGTGTGTGTGTGTGTGTGTGTGTGTGTGTGTGTGTGTGTGTGTGTGTTTGGGAGGACGCGAG